ATTGACAGGGCCTTTCCCGTTGGCTCTCTCTAAATTAGCACTGGCAGCGCCTTTCCGGTTAGCTTGTTCTAAATTAACACTGGCAGGGACTTTCCCGTTAGCTCTCTTTAAGTTAACACTGACAGGGCCTATCCCGTTAGCTCTTTCTAAATGAACACTGACAGGGCCATTCCCATTAGCTCTCTCTAAATCAACACTGACAGGGCCTTTTCTAAATTAACACTGACAGGGCCTTTCCCGTTAGCTCTTTCTAAATTAACATTAACAGGGCCTTTCCCGTTAGCTCTCTCTAAATTAACACTGACAGGGCCTATCCCGTTAGCTCTTTCTAAATTAACACTGACAGGGCCTTTCCCGTTAGCTCTCTCTAAATTAACACTGACAGGGCCTTTCCCGTTAGCTCTTTCTAAATTAACACTGACAGGGCCTTTCCCGTTAGCTCTCTCTAAATTAACACTGACAGGGCCTTTCCCGTTAGCTCTTTCTAAATTAACACTGACAGGGCCTTTCCCGTTAGCTCTCTCTAAATTAACACTGACAGGGCCTTTCCCGTTAGCTCTTTCTAAATTAACACTGACAGGGCCTTTCCCGTTAGCTCTCTCTAAATTAACACTGACAGGGCCTTTCCCGTTAGCTCTTTCTAAATTAACACTGACAGGGCCTTTCCCGTTAGCTCTCTCTAAATTAACACTGACAGTGCCTTTCCCGTTAGCTCTTTCTAAATTAACACTGACAGTGCCTTTCCCGTTAGCTCTCTCTAAATTAACACTGACAGGGCCTTTCCCGTTAGCTCTTGGATAGCGTTGTGTACCACTGCAGCAGGATAACGTTTTCTTTAAAGATACATTTTTAAATCTTTCAATCTGTTTCTTATATTTTTTTATCGCTACCATACGTGATTAATTTCGATGCTAAACTATATGGAATGTTAAGCTTAGTGTGTTTAACATGATTAGAAAAGCAATCCAAATAATTGTGGAAATCTGTAGGTTTAGAATATATATCGCTTACAATATCTTGTCCTTTAATTTCTACAAAAAATTATCCAAGAAAGGTATTCCTTTTTCACTAAATTCCATTGTGTTATTCAAATTGGAATAACAGATATTTAGCATATTGAAAATTGAAAAAAGAAGTTCTCACCTAGAGGCCTAATAATAAAACAATGATCCAGAAATCTCAAAATATTTTCTTTTGGATAGTTTGCAAAAGTAACACTTAACGTATTTTCAACATTTGTATAAAGTGTATACTCTCAATACCCACGGACAAGCGTCGCATAGGTAGGGGCCACCTTTGTTCCCATTGCAGTACCTTTACACTGTTGGTAAAAATTACCATTAAAACAAAACGTATTGTTTTCCAATACAATTTTTAATGCTTCAACAATGAATTGTTTATCAAATCTAGAGTCTACTATTCAAGCAATAGCTAATGGCCTCGATTCCCAAATTATGTGGAATATTTGTATACAAGCTTATTACATCAAAAGTTACAAGATTACAAACCTCCTTAACTTGATTTAGCAAATGAGAGAGAAAATCTATATCATTACGTATAAAAGTCTGAACTTCCGAACAAAGAGGCTTCAGTAACAAGTCTTAAAAACGACTTAACTGTTGAGTAACGCTCTCCGGAACACCAACAATAGGTCTGAATTTACGATCATTGCTAGATTTCAGGCAAATATATTCAGAACCTTGCTCTTTGATTGCTTTTGAAATCAATTTACTTTTTTGTATCTTTGGAAGACCGCAAAAATAATTTGAGAGATATTCGAAGACTGTAAGATATTCTTTTTCCTTATCTTTAAAATTCTCTCAGCGCTTTATCACAAGACTCGCAATATAATTCATAGTCTCTGCATCTGTGTAAGAGGGAATAAATATTTAGATGACAAATTTATAATTTTAGGTATAAATTTCATTTTCTGTCTCACAGATTGTTCCGCCTTCGTCTTTTGTAGCGCACTGGTCTAAATAAAGACTTGTCCGATATATGTTGTTCCCTTGTATGTATAGGTCGTAAAATTCTACTCGGCGGCGAATAATAATATAAGATTATTAAAAAGATTTGAAGCCGACAAGTATTAATGAACTAGCTTCTGTGGCGTTATGTGCTCTACCTAACATAAAGGGATATCATACCGAAGTTCATACTCAACTTTTCTTTATAAAAGTTTTTAAAACTTGAAATGGACAAACTAGGAAAGTTTCGTATATTTACACTTGTATAAACATTCATGCAAACTTATGAAAAAGAAACATTTCTTACGTTCTGGACAGGTTAAGGGTGTTCATTTTATAGCAGATTAAACAAAGTGCCGATTTACAGGAGATCGTTTGTTCCAGTTTTACTTTTGACATTTATGTCTATATATGTCCATATTTTTTAATTATTTCATTTCAAAAAGTCTATAACACCTTTGGAAAACTACACAAAAATATAATAAAAATAAAGTAAAGCCGTCCATTTAAGGACAATATCTTACTTTACACGAGTGTCTTGTTAAAGCGTTTAAAACAGAAATGTAGGTTAATCTCCCTAATCATATAATCAAGTTTAGGAATAAGTCGTAGTTATGACAAGTTAAGTACGATTTTGATAAATTTACTCACATTAAATTATCACATCAATATCAAGGAGAGTCATACCAGGATAAAAAAAAAAAAAAATGGGAAAAAAGATCAAAAGTATTTACGTTTCAAAAACCACACGTTCTCAGATAACATGTGATGCTCGCTTCTTAAAAGTAAATGAGTTGGGAGTTACTAACTTTTACAAATACACTGATCGAGAATGTACGTAGTATTCTTGGCCATTGAAAATAAGGCGGGTTTTTTTGGTTTCTTTAATGCGCTTCAATAACTATGAGAGGAAGATCCCAGATATAAATTATGTTTCATCACATGATTGCATTACATTAATTCGGACACCACGGATCTAGACAATTTATCCAGCTCGTAAAATTGGACAAGTGATACATTAAATGAAGATTATCTTGGTACATTTATGGTGTAAAGTCGTTTATGTTCCATATACCGTTTCAACTGAACACGTATGTACAACATGAGGTTAACTGTGTGTAAGTAATGCTAACTCTCCTAGGAGAATTATTTATTGAGCATGTAAATTCAATTTCTATCAGAAAATTCACATCCTAATACACAGAGGTTACTCTTTGCTCAGTGGTCAGTTTTAACAATCCTAACAAATCGGATTATGTTAGACTATATAACAGGTTCATAATGTATTACACATTAAATCATGCTAAGTTGTAGCAGTTTCAGCCATCAAATTACGAAAAACTGTCACTGTCCTTATAGTTATACCAACTACTTGTTTATCTGTTGGTTTTCTAGTTTGATACTCTCTATGGCTTCGTTCTTGTCTCCTTCAGTCACCTTCTTCTGGATTCTCTACATTGCGTCTAATGTATTTATTGCGTAAATTTTCGTTTAATATTAGTATGGAATTTAAGTATCCCAGAAATATGTATGTATAGACCCTGTTGAGTGACAGTACAGACACTATGGTTGTACAATGAGGTTTGATCGACATGTAACCTACTTACAGAACACCCTTCACTAATTACTGTGTAGTTGTTCACTGTTAACTAGTTATAGCTAGGTACTGTAAACTGCTTATATTTAGAGAACACTATTATCGCGACAATATTCTTTTGTATTTATTCGTAATAACAATATGCTTCGCGATCGCTCCAAACGTATGTCTTACCATCCTTAACACGAAAATATATTTCTTGCAGAATGTCATTAAATAAACCACAGAATTGTGACTAATAGACATAAACAGATTATATTGGATTGTGTGAATGTGGATATTTTCGCGGTGTGGAAATGGCCGTGTTGTTTTCGCGTTGAGTAAATTAGCGCGGAAATATCCACACGGTAATATATGTTGATAAATATCCACACGGTAATATATGTTGATAAATATACACACGGTAATATATGTTGATAAATATCAAAATTTCATAACCATTGCCAACCCGACAATGTCCACACCGCGATCAGAGTAAAGAGTTGTAATGTGTCCACACCGCGATCAGAGTAAAGAGTTGTAATGTGTCCGCACCAAATGATTTCCAATTTTACAACACTAAACAATAAGTTTATGAATTCAATGTCGATCTACAAAAGTACAATTTAATCGTTTTTCATGTAAAATAACGGCTCCAATCGTTAGCATCTTCCATAATGGTTTGCTATATTTTCTTTCACTTGGTTTAGATAGTTTAGTGCCATTATATAACCCACGAAAATACATAACCGTCTGTTGATGCGAGAACATGGGCGTGATTGTTGGCGTGATGTCACATTACTGTTGGCATCTGTCTAGCCATACAATGAAGTTTGATAAACTTACTGTGGAAAGCCTTCTCAAAATTGTCAAAATAACTAAAAGAAATCGTTTACAACTAAGGATTTACCAAACTCGTTAAAACTTTTGAAAAGTAAAACAAACATGTGACACAAGAATTTCATACATCTCGTTCAGACATTGCAATATTACGTATGATTCAATAGTGACGTCATACCTATTTAACCTTCTTTAAGTAAGGTTTATACTGCGTAGCATGCTATGCGGTATAGTTCGGTCAATTGCTGCATCGAAAATATTTTAATCAGACGTCATTCTATTATTTTATTAAGATGTCAAAATTACGACGATATCCGTATAGACTATTAAGAATATAGTTCTCCAACAGCTTTACACATAAGCAAATCGAATGCATTGGAAATGTAGGCGATGATTGAATAAATTAAAAGCAGGCAGCATAATGGTAAGTTTTGAGATTAACTGCTACTATTCAACGTAGATGTATTGTTAAAGCATTATTTATATAAGAGGACCGACACATACAATCTAAAAGATTTGATAGGCGTACAAATTTGTAAAGAAAATAAATAATATTTTCATCAATATAATTTGGATACAAAATTTTGATGTTGTAATAAAGTTCATCTAGAGCTTACCTGCATTATCAATTGAACAGACAACCAGGAGAAATAAGATAAGAGTTGACATGGCGGAACGTCTTGTTCGAATTCGTTTGTAATCTCGAACTAATATTCGTCCTTCTGCAAGTCGTTTCGTCTACATCCTTGAATCTGTCATCACATTTAAATCTTCGCAGCACATTATTTAAATTACTTATATACAGTTTGTGTTGCCAGTTTGATGTAGAAATTCATGTTGTTATATTCTCAAACAGTTTGAGGCTGCCATTTTGTGTATTTCGTTTCTCCGTATCCATGATCGCTAATCTCTTGAATTATCGTCATAAATCCCCTGGACTTACACTCGTGTGTGTTGTACATAGGGGACAAGGCAATATCCTATTAGAGATCAGCTATAGGTTTAACAAGTATGTAAAGCTTCAGCGGGTTCTCACTCTAAATGTTTGCGGTGAAACATTTAAAAAACACAATAAGGGTGTACTATTGCAAACTGGCAATACTTCTCAACACATATCTAATCACTAGAGCACAATTAAATCAACGGCTTATCTTTATATTTCTGACACGACTATTTACGAACACTTTTAAACGATCGCCACGCTGATAAGTACAATGTGTTAGAATAATGATATTCTATAAACACTTAACACATCAACAATCAGAATGGAAAATGTACCATTAGTAGACAAGAAGAGAGATATGAAAACGAAGAGTAATTTAGGCATCGTTGTGGTCATTTGTTTTAAACCAAACAACACGGTAATAACCAAGTGAACTGCAAATATCTTTGTGCTATCATTTTTACAGTTAGTTTGTTACAGATACTGTTATTGTTTAGAAGCTTCTACTTTATACAGCGCGTCAGGTTATTTCGTACCACGACACCATTGTATTATACTATTAACAGTTTACCCCATTAAGAACATATTATATGTAGTCTATTAATACAGATTTGACGGAACTAATTTAGTCATATCATATTTTAGTTTATTAGTGTATCGTACATACTTATTATTATAAAAGGGAGGTAATACCATATCTATATCTACATATTTATAACAACAATTTTAAGTCGAGAAGATTATGGTGATCGTGAACCTGACGGATACCTGACATTGAGTTTCCACGTAAATGAAATACCAGTTCACTGAATAATGAAGTCAATTTCGAGAAAATTACATCAAAATTAACGTAATACCGAGTTTTTATTTGGAAAATGACAGAAATCTGATACCTTGTTTCTGCAGAAGAAGCCTGAGAAGTCTTACATTAGGTTTATAACATGTGAACACTTTTCCATTAAGTGAATCATGTATTTAAAATAAAATATATGTTATTAACAAAATTCAACACAAAGCGATGCCATCATGGATAGTCAACCTTGCTAGAGACCAATTATATTCAGACCATCCGGGTTAAGAAACCACTTTTAAAACTAATCAATGCCGTTATTTCTACGTAAAATGACGCGGTAAGAGATTGTCTCTGAGGCGGCTTTATGGACTTCCCTATAAGGCGGTTCTCGTTAGCTAAACTGCGTGCGCGTGTGTGTGTCATACTTTGTATGTTACTTATTGTCTTCATTATCATTCTTATTTCAAAGATACGATCTCGTATCATCTTCTTAAGATAATGAATACATAAGGTATCTGGGAACAGCATTAATACAATTGTTTCAATGGATACAAAAATAAACGGATGTCAGTTTAATATGGATTAAAAGGGTTAACAAGAATTCCACGGAAGTGGATGTGTCGCCTGCGCAGGAAGCTGTGAGATTACGAAGAAATAGATACAATATGGTGTCCACAAGCAAGACCAGCATCGCCTCATTGGTATCCGTAAAAAAATCTTGAAAATGCAAGTATGCTTAGCTGCATGAAGTTAGAGTTTGATCGGCCCAAGGAAACTCAAGTTATCGCACGAAAACAGATTTTCTATTTATAGTTACAGTGACCTTGACCTTTGGACCTGAAAAGCAATCCCAAGCAAGCACTTTTGGTAAGGAAGCACTGCATGAAGTTTGAGTTTGACCGGCCCCAGGAAACTCAAATTATCGCACGAAAACAGATTTTCTAATTATAGGAAGTGACCTTGACCTTTGACTTTCGGACCTGAAAAGCAATCCCAAGCAAGCACTTTTGGTAAGGAAGCACTGCATGAAGTTTAAGTTTGATCGGCCCAAGGAAACTCAAGTTATCGCACGAAAACCTCTGTGCGGACGCCGCCGCCGACATAGCAACGCCTATGTGTCACCAGCTTTTCGCAGGCGACACAAAAACCAAGCGAAATGCCCTTTTGTGAAACCATTGAGGAACACTGGAGAACACCAGGGAATTTGTTTACCTGGGCAAGAAGGTGACAACAGATGGCAACTGTGATCAGGATGTCAACAAATGGATCACCAGCGCTAGCCTCAGCATCTACATCAAGATCTTCTGATCAGAGTGCTGGAACATCATTGCCGCCATCGAGTGAAAGCGAGACTTCCTCAATACGTTCTAGTCAAACACCTATTCCAATAACGAACTGCAGAATCGGTAAGACAATCACGTCACTGGCTTGGACAGGTATGTCATGTTACCAGCTAGCCTGCCATTAGGTGTCTGATTGACAGATAAAAGACAAGGAGACAGCGGGCATACAAGAGAAACATCAAGGATCAGAGGACTGTGCCTGGAGACGGCCCTAAATGCAATGACAAAAAAGACGGAGGACCCCCAAACCTGTCTCATGGCACCGCTGAAAAAGTGTACGAGTGAGTGATTCTATTTATTTTCACATCACAGAATCGAATTTAAAGCTCGTTAAAGTGTATTAGTTACACAAGTGACCCAACTTTTGAACTGATCGACTCTTTTCAGTTTTACAATTTAAATCTGTACCATGAGATGAAAGCTAGTCAAAAACTCCTTCCTATAGAAAGTTGAAAGTTGGTACATCTTTTACAGATACTGCTTGTATAGTAATTAATTTTGTGGGGCAATTTTTTGCGGTTGTCTAAATCAGACTTTGTTCACGGGGATTTATTTTTGCTCAACATTACAAGGTAAAACTATTGAGTTAAGAGGGTTCTTTTGTATTTCAGAATAATGATATTTATTTTACAATTGATTTTTGAAAATTAAGTAAAACACGATATTGAACTGTTGTTTTATCTTCCGTTATCCAGCAACCCGGTATTTTTGTGACTGTATATTCAAATATTCACGGGGACTATGATGCACAATATTGATTTCTGGGTATTTAATTTTGTGCTATCATTGGTTACCACGAATATAGCAAACTATTACCAGCTATACAGTACATGGAGGACAATAAGCAGAATCGGAGCAATGTATTCCGTTTACAGTTACTATATTATTGCCTGGATATTTCTAACCCATGATCTGTCGGTGACATTCTCATGGACTACACCTCCCTACCACAAACAGAACCACAGTTAAATGTCATTGTTTTTTTATGGTATCATGATATGCATATAACAACATAGGTATATAATTATCTAAAACATGGTAATAAATAATTTGATTTAGTGCCTTGAATGCTTCAAAGTGTCGTTTGCAATACTTATATTAACATATATCTCATATTTACAAATTTGCTACAAATTCCTTTTTCAATACTTGACACCATTTTATAAAATGCAAACCTTAAAAAGTAATGAATATAAAATAATCCAACTTTAAAAGATATGCACATCAATAACTTACTAAACAACAATTCTGACCATATATTTATACACTTATAGAAATATGGCATAATATTTACATGCACACTCATGTATTTTAAAAAAGATCACAATAAAAAAACATAAACCAATTCCTCTTTCGTCTGAGGTACATGTATATTACATGTATGTATGATGTAAGCCCGAGAGTGTGAGACTATGTACATGTGTATTACATGTATGTATGATGTTAGCCCGAGAGTGCGAGACTATGTACATGTGTATTACATGTATGTATGATGTAAGCCTGAGAGTGTGAGACTATGTACATGTATATTACATGTATGTATGATGTAAGCCTGAGAGTGTGAGACTATGTGTATCTACCATCTATACGTCATCTTGTAGACTCACCATCTGGTGACCAGACAGAATTTTAAAACTTGTTTTATCGTCAAAGGAAAACTTTAACAAACCAATTACAAATGTTCTCCATTCAAAAATAGTAATAAAATAAGTAAAATAACAACACAGACAGCATATTCTAGAGGAAAGCTTGTTCTCAGTGCAGTACCTGTGACTTTCTCTGTAATGAATTAGTATGATAAGTAAAGTTTAGAGAAAATCGGTTGAATATTTATCAAGTCATCAGCAAAAAGTGGGTCAATGAGACAATCGTAATAGACAGTAGAACAACATACTTTTCTGTGGAATACATGTAAATACAAATATCTTTAGATATGTAGATCACACATGTTAACAACATCATGGAATTGTTGACAAACTGGAATATCATTATTACTAAGCAATCATTGTATGCCATGGTAACAGTACAAAGTGTTCATACAATATCTAAGGTTACCTAGTAGTGTCATGATAAATATTGATATCAGGCAAAATACAACAAAACTCCTCGGTCAAATGTTAGTTAAATACATGTTGTAAATTAAATACATGTTGTGAATTATTGAATGTGAATTATTGAATATCATTTTTTAAACAATATTTGTTTTCTATTTACATGCATACATCATTGGAACAAGTACATACAACATTGAAATGTTGAAAATTCAGCAAAAAAAGAAGAAAGTAGAAACATTTGCCGACATATTATTCATTTTCAATGACATTCTCCCGTCATTAAAACAAAATTTGTTAGTACAGAAATGTACCTATTGTTGGGAGAAAAGAATCATTTCAACATTTACAGGTCTCGATAATAATGACCACTGTACAATTAAATACTGCTAATCTATTTCAGTAAAGAATACAAAATATACAAAACTATGAAATCTCTTCACCAATTAAACTTTGCCACAAAATTTTCTTGTATTTTGCAGATTAGTTCTGTACTGTTTTTTCTAAGAACTAGAAAATAACCTACAGGATGATATTTTGTCATATACATGCATGGCTCAGATTATTCCCCACACAACTTTGAACAACATAAAATACGCATATTATACTTATCTTTTTGAGAAACCAGAAATTCTTACAAAACCTATGGACAATTTTCAAGGTACCTAGGTATAAAATTCACAAACATATATAATTATCATCAGACAGGATACCTTCAAAACAATTAAATTTAAAAATAACATTTTTGAAGAATGTTTTGAACATGCAAAGAACCTTAATGATGCACACATATGTTTGTATATCTATACTGAATTTTCTGTAACAAGATCAGAAAATACTCCACATTTAAAATAATTCTATCAATTTCTTAGAAAATGAAATTGATCTGAATTCCTTTTAAATCCCAAAACTTTGGCTAACTTGGGAATTTTCATTTATGTACTCCTGAACATGCATGTTGATACTGATTTCTGGAGTCATGCTAACCTGTGTAGTCAGGCCTGGCCAGCCATGATGGAACCTGGCTGGATCAGTATTCCGTCTTTGCGTATTGCAGAGTTATCTTCTCTTGGGGGCAGGTACTGATTGTTACGTCATTGGTTTGTGGGAGAAAATTACGTCGTTTTCTCAAAAATTGATGACGTTACCCTCACAAACAAGTGACGTAACAATCAATACCTGCTCCCAAGAGAAGATAACTCTGCAATACGCAAAGACGGAAAAGTTTGACTACCAGCTGGACCATCTTTATTGCCAAGTCAAATACCAGTGGTCCAGTAATCCTGTCCTGACATACCAACAAGCTGTTGTGAAGTAGTAAACAGGTAGTCCTATACAGTTTATAGCTATCAACTGTGCTGACTAATTTACAAAGGTGCATAAAGCAGGTATGCACAAATTCACTCATTATTTAAAGTAATGGAGAGTAAAAACATGGACTTTTCTGATGTTCTATCCATTCATTACATATTTATGCTATACAAGTTTACTGTATCATGAATAAAAACTATTGGAAACAGGAAAAATGTCATGTTATGAACTTAAATTTCAACATATCTCATAAAACACATTTGAACTGATCATGTAACACTGTAATCACACACATGTAATACTTTGTTCAAAATTTGGTTTTTAACTCTGACCTTGCACTTTAACAAAACATTTAACAAGGTCAAGGTAACCCGTATTTCAAACCAAAGTTCAAGATTACAGCAAGCCTCTATAGGCCACAAAACTTTAAGTCTGACATGTAATGGCAAGTGAGGATCTGTTCCTGGGTTATAAGTTCATCTCTTAATAAATGTCAAAGGTCAAGGTCAAAGCTGTGTGACTTCCACCTGGAGTACTGCTGGGGAGTCATTGTTACTGTGGTGACTAGCTGAGTGTGTAGAAAAGGATGATGTCGATGATTTTCGTGATGATGTCTGAAAATACAAAGAATTTAAATCAATTCAAATAGGAAGTGGACTTTTAATCTGAGTTTAATCAAAAGATAAGCTCTTCAACAATATCATAAACCATCTTCAAAACTTTGTAGAAAATGTATCTGAAATTTGAAGCGTTTCAGGTATCAAAATTCATATTATTCTATATAAAGTTTTGACTTTTATGAGAGTTTTTATTAAATATTGGCAAACATTTTGACTTAGTGTACATCTTTTCCAAATGTGATATCTTAAAGAAAATATCTTACTGACATTATATCAGAATGTCCATAATGTTGATTTAGGATCTTTTGATTTCTATACTTCTACAATATTTTATATACTGAGTATTGCACTAAATTATAAGTAATCGTATAGCTTAGGATCTTTTCTTTATCTAACTTCTACATATTTTTCATTTTAACACTCAGACAAACAAAATATGTTACAGAGGTGATGTCATCCTTGATATCCAGGGGCCTTACGCTCACTTTCGCTCTCTATACCCCTGGAATATGTCATAGCAAAATTGATAGCACAAAGATAGCTGTTTGATTGGTGTTGGTTAATAAAACCTGACCAATCACTAGGCTGATACCTGTCCATTGAAGATTACAATGGAGAGACACCCAACTTCAAAGCCTGTCAAATTTTACCGTTACGTGACCGCGAGATTATTTTGACGTATATATCAAAGGATCATACAAACTAGTCTTCTTGTCTCATCAACAAGGTGGCGCACACTGAGCCTTCAATTTTGCCATGAAATATTCCAGGGGTGTAGAGAACAAAAGTGAGTGTAACCCCTGGACATCAAGGATGAAGTGATGTATACATGACATTCATTGAGCATGGTGGACAACAATTCATTCAAAGATCACAAATCAATTATCTGCGCATTCAACAGTTTTTTCTAGTCTAGTATACCTTGGGCTTTTTCATATGGCTTGGTAAAGTATAATGATACTGTGGTATATATATGAATGTCTAGTTTTTTTAAGTGAAAAATGCTCACGCTTTAAGAAATGTTGTGGAACTCATCTCCAATAGTTAAAACTAGAACGCTCCCTACCTTTCATCTAGAACTATAAGGGGAGGTAATGTTAACATGTATGATGGAGTTTTCTCCCTTTTACTGTAACTTGCTTTATCTGTTTTACAATCATATAGGACTTGTTTATGATTGTTCATAACCTTAACTTGAAATATCACACAGCATATTTGAAATTTAATGATTCTAGCTCCCAAATTTTACTTTTTTTCTTTTGTTAAAACTGACATCATTGTCTTATATTAATAATTATATCAAATCACACACTATATTAGTGTATATCCGGTCACTTTGCTATATCAGGATGTATATGTACATTACTGTCATAGTGACGTGCTTTAACTCCCCCCCCCCCCCCCCCCCCAAAAAAAAAGATGAAAACAAACAGCCCTGAAAGAAACAAACATATGGCTTAAACATCCTGAGTGAAAACAATACTAATTCCAATTTTTTCCATGAGAAGGTTTCATTATCAAATTTCGCATTGTTGACTAAATTAATACACACCTGGGAGTGTCAAATTTCACATTGTTGACTAAAATATACACACCTGGGAGTGTCAAATTTTGCATGTGATTTGCTAGAAAAGTGTCTACACAATGAAGACTAAGAGTTCATAATAAAGTTTTTGTGTGTGGGTGCAGTTCTATGCACGTCGAACAACGATAATATATATGGGATTTATTTATTTATTTTCAGTAGTATACCTTTTATTTTGGATACACAATTTGGAGAATGTGTCATAACTTAAGTAACAACCAGCTTGGCAGTGTTTCAAAGTGTTCAGGTGAGTGCTTTTGATTTTTGATATCAATTGCTGATCAGGGTGCATGCATGGTGCATTGAATTGCAAGACGGTCAGTTGTAGAACGATAACCGGTTTGACAGGTAATGCACTTTTTATACCCAGCGAGACCCATACTCGTTTCCAAGCAAGGGCAAACTAAAATGTCGGCCCTTCTTTAGAAACGATAGTCCAAACAGAAGGGGAAGATCTCAAAAGCAGAAAATAAATTAGAACCTTTTTTTCATCTCAATTAAAAGCCTTTTAACTTGTTGTGTCAGCTTTAATTCATGGGAAAACAACTAGTAGTATAATTACCGTTGGATGTTTCTGAGAAGAAAGTTTCCTGGTCAGAGCCAGGTCAGTTTGTGTAGATGCATTGCACATCTGGACTTTTGTCTTGTTACGTGGCACCACAATGATGTCCGGGCCGAAGAAGAAATTGTCATTATGACTGCAGGAAGGAAGTTTTTCATCATGAAGACTAGAACTGGGTACCTTCTCATCACCATGGCAACTACTTGTGGATGAGGATGAGGAAGATAGTGATGATTTTTCTATGGAAGCTGTAGGAAGAGAAACACTTTTTTCTAGTTAATTAAAAGAAATGTTACAAGATATTGATATAGAGTATATATTTTGCATAACATTATATGGAAGATGTAGGGAATTACAAATGATTTATAATATATCTAAAATAGATGTTACATTTGTTGTACAACCAACCCTTGAAATATAACTATTTTAAGTACAGTATATTGCATTTCTTTGTGTAAATTTTCAGATCATAAATCAAAAGAGGTAGCCATGCAGAAATGATTTAAATTATTTAAACCTAGGAAGAACACAGCTTGATCAAAATAAATAATGTATCTAGATTTTTTCTTATTTAATTGAAGCCTGAATAAGACATCTTTCAATGGATTTTATTCTTCCTGAAATATAATATACATAGTGATCTAGATATATGTACCAAGAAATCTCTGATTGTTCTCCCTATTGATTCAGACTTTATATCATTAAGACATTTTATGATTTTACATTCAGACATTGCATGGTCATACACAGACCAACTCATTAACATTCCAAAACTTACACCTGCCAACATAAATCTTCTAGTTAAGGTTAATCTATAACCACTTTTTTATTTTTATATATTTGTGTTTGTTAATATTAAATACAATGCTATCGGTCTTCTGCAAACCAAAATAAAGTATATTTGTAATGACAATCAGAACCAGAAATTCTACTTAAATACCTTCTACAGTATATACATCTGCATGGTGACCTGTATCCCTATGACTTTTAAAGTGGATTTAGTCAGTTGGCACCAATCTGACAGCCCTTATCATAGCCATTTAGCTACTGGCCAAATATCACGACTATATTAATATGTATATCATCTCTGTGGAGGAACATTCTGGAAACTTTTAACCCCTATTTAATCCTTTATTTTTTTAAATAAACCTGATACCACTTGATCAAAGCCAAGTACAGGTATAATCATTGTTTCAGACCTTACGGTTCTACAGAAGAAGTCTTTAAAAGGGCAAATTGACAAAGTACAAACAGATAAATACATAAGCTCACAGGCACATTCCTAAGTATCACAGAAGATGTTAGCTTAATTGTTCCAGTCTGTCTACCTGTATAAATATGTTTGCCTCATAGGCCACTTGGCTCAAAATAATGCGCTGCTTCTTACAGGAGAACAACAACTAAACATCTTGAAAAAAATAGATTTTTTTATCAATACATAAACAAATACCATGCAAATAAATTTCACACCAATGTCACCAAGAAGGGCAAAAAGCAATCAAACAACACACTCTGATAACACAGTACTATGATTTCATAGCAACGTACAGCTATCTTTCCATTTTCATTCTCCAATACCAATATTTCACCAATCATGATCACTTTTGTGTGTATACTCACGTTTATAGGTGTGTGACCTATTTGATGGTGACCTACATGTTTGATGTTTGACCTACTTGTGTGTGGCTCACTTGTAAGAATCCATCTGTATAACCTTTCTATTTGATGGTGACCTATATGTTTGATGTTTGACCTGTTTGTGTATGGCTCACTTGTAAGAATCCATCTGTATATCCTTACTACATGTATTTGATGGTGACCTATATGTTTGATGTTTGACCTACTTGTGTGTGGCTCACTTGTAAGAATCCATCTGTATAACATTACTATTTGATGGTGACCTACCTGTTTGATGTTTGACCTATTTGTGTATGGCTCACTTGTAAGAATCCATCTGTATAACCTTACTACATGTATTTGATGGTGACCTATATGTTTGATGTTTGACCTACTTGTGTGTGGCTCACTTGTAAGAATCTATCTGTATAACCTTACTATTTGATGGTGACCTATATGTTTGATGTTTGACCTATTTGTGTGTGGCTTACTTGTAAGAATGCATCTGTAAAACCTTACTATTTGATGGTGACCTACCTGTTTGATGTTTGACCTACTTGTGTGTGGCTCACTTGTAAGAATCTATCTGTATAACCTTACTATTTGATGGTGACCTATATGTTTGATGTTTGACCTATTTGTGTATGGCTCACTTGTAAGAATCCATCTGTATAACCTTACTATTTGATGGTGACCTATATGTTTGATGTTTGACCTATTTGTGTGTGGCTTACTTGTAAGAATGCATCTGTATAACCTTACTATTTGATGGTGACCTACCTGTTTGATGTTTGACCTATTTGTGTGTGGCTTACTTGTAAGAATCCATCTGTATAACCTTACTATTTGATGGTGACCTTCCTGTTTGAACCTAATCTGCATGGTCCTATCATATATCTGTATATTCATGTGACATATATCTGTATGTTCATGTGACATATATCTGTATGTTCATGTGACATATATCTGTTTAATCTATTTGTTGGCGATCTTCACCTACGTGCTTCACCTTTTAACCTTTTTGAAGGTGGCCTATCTGTTTGTCCTGTAAACTATTTGGGTGATGTGGCATATCTTTATGGTCCCATCATCCTATGGTCATGAAACCTACCTGTCTGACCAATGACCTATTTGTGTGACCTACCTGTCTGTCCAATTGCCTATTTGTGTGACCTACCTGCCTGACCAATAACCTATTTGTGTGACCTTGATGTCTGTCCAATGACCTATTTGTGTGATCTACCTGTCTGACCAATCACCTATTTGTGTGACCTTGATGTCTGTCCAATGACCTATTTGTGTGACCTACCTGTCTGACCAATGACCTATTTGTGTGACCTACCTGTGGATTGATGACACTGCGGATTACTGTAGGCGTGGTTTAGGATTGCACGCTCCCTCATATCGCGGGGTTTCTTTGGGGACAGAGATTTAGGAAGCAGACTTGTTTGGGATAGACTTGGTACACGAACACCAACCGTGGTGAAATCAACATTATCTGCAAACAGGGTTAGCAAGTGCAGATTACAGCAAAGTTTAAGTCTCAGCCAATCAAAACAGTTGTAGCAAATTCTGGGTCTCAGCAAAATCAAACCATTTATAAATTCAACAGGTCAATGTGCAGTCAGATATGGCAGTAACTGTTTTGAAAACTAACTTGAAGTGATCATTCAAATGAGGATTCAGAATAAAAAGGAACTGACAAATAATTCCCCAGAAATAATAACTGTTGATAATTGATGGTCCAGGACCATATGTAATATATAGTTTAATAATAGACAAGGGATTCAATACTTCATAGTGTAGTCTGGCTTTACTGCAGAATTATATCTGTTCAAAACATAAAATTACTTTTTAATTTCTACATGCATTTGAGTGTGCAATTAAGAGTGTTTAATAATTTGATAATCCAATAAAATAACTAACATTTTGGACCACACTTTTAAGGTTAAATAACTGTGGTTTGATTCTTAAATTATAATCCAGACAGCTTTTTTTCTTTCATTTTACACTTTCTGTCACTGGGAAGGCGTTTTTGGACATTTGGAACAATAATAACAGCCAGGGTCACATGTTTGTTTGTTTGGGGTATAACAGCTTCGTCACAGCCAGGGTCACATGTTTGTTCGTTAGGGATTTAACGGCTTCGTCACAGCCAGGGTCACATGCTTGTTTGTTAGGGGTTTAACGGCTTCGTCACAGCCAGGGTCACATGTTTGTTTGTTTGGGGTTTAACCGCTTCGTCACAGCCAAGGTCACATGTTTGTTTGGGGTTTAACGGCTTCGTCACAGCCAGGGTCACAGGTTTGTTTGTTGGGGGTTTAACGGCTTCGCCCCAGCCAGGGTCACATGTTTGTTTGTTATGGGTTTATAATGGCTTTGTCACAGCTAGGGTCACATGTTTGTTTGTTAGGGATTTAACGGCTTCGTCACAGCCAGGGCCACATGTTTGTTTGTTTGGGGTTTAATGGCTTTGTCACAGCCAGGGTCACATGTTTGTTTGTTGGGGGTTTAACGGCTTCGCCACAGCCAGGGTCACATGTTTGTTTGTTAGGGGTTTATAATGGCTTTGTCACAGCCAGGGTCACATGTTTGTTTGTTAGGGGTTTAACGGCTTTGCCACAGCCAGGGTCACATGTTTGTTTGTTAGGGGTTTAATTGCCTCGTCACAGCCAGGGTCACATGTTTTTTTGTTAGGGGTTTAACGGCTTTGTCACAGCCAGGGTCACATGTTTGTTTGTTAGGGGTTTAACAGCTTCGTCACAGCAGGTCACATGTTTGTTTGTTTTGGGTTTAACGGCTTTGCCACAGCCAGGGTCACATGTTTGTTTGTTAGGGGTTTAACGGCTTCGTCACAGCAGGTCACATGTTTGTTTGTTTGGAGTTTAACGGCTTCGCCACAGCCAGGGTCACATGTTTGTTTGTTAGGGGTTTAACGGCTTCGTCACAGCCAGGGTCACATGTTTGTTTGTTAGGGAATTAATGGCTTTGTCGCAGCCAGGGTCACATGTTTGTTTGTTAGGGGTTTAACAGCTTCGTCACAGCCAGGGTCACATGTTTGTTTGTTAGGGGTTTAATGGTTTCGTCACAGTCAGGGTCACATGTTTGTTTGTTAGGGGTTTAACGGCTTCGTCACAGCCTGGGAAACATGTTTGTTTGGAAGAGAATTAATGGCTTTGTCACAGCCAGGGTCGCATGTTTGGGGTTTAACGGCTTAGTCGCAGCCAGGGTCCCATGTTTGGGGGTTAACGGCTTCGTCAAAGCCAGGGTCACATGGTTGTTTGTTAGGGGTGTAATGGCTTCGTCACAGTCAGGGTCACATGTTTGTTTGTTAGGGGTTAAATGGCTTCGTCACAGCCAGGGTCACATGTTTGTTTGGTAGAGAATTAATGGCTTTGTCGCAGCCAGGGTCACATGTTTGTTTGTTTGGGGTTTAACGGCTTCGTCACAGCAGGTCACATGTTTGTTTGTTAGGGTTTAACGGCTTCGTCACAGCCAGGGTCACATGTTTATTTGTTAGGGAATTAATGGCTTTGTCACAGCCAGGGTCACATGTTTGTTTATTAGGGGTTTAACGGATTCGTCACAGCCAGGGTCATATGTTTGTTTGTTTGGGGTTTAATGGCTTTGTCACAGCCAGGGTCACATGTTTGTTTATTAGGGGTTTAACGGATTCGTCACAGCCAGGGTCACATGTTTGTTTGTTAGGGGTTAAATGGCTTCGTCACAGCCAGGGTTACATGTTTGTTTGTTAGGGGTTTAACGGCTTCATCACAGCAGGTCACATGTTTGTTTGTTTGGGGTTTAACGGCTTCGTCACAGCCAGGGTCACATGGTTGTTTGGTAGGGGTTAAATGGCTTCGTCACAGCCAGGGTTACGTGTTTGTTTGTTAGGGGTTTAACGGCTTCATCACAGCAGGTCACATGTTTGTTTGTTTGGGGTTTAACGGCTTCGTCACAGCCAGGGGCACATGTTTGTTTGTTTGGGGTTTAACGGCTTCGTCACAGCCAGGGGCACATGTTTGTTTGTTAGGGGTTTAATGGCTTCTTCACAGCCAGGGGCACATGTTTGTTTGTTTGGGGTTTAACGGCTTCGTCACAGCCAGGGGCACATGTTTGTTTGTTAGGGGTTTAATGGCTTCGTCACAGCCAGGGTCACATGTTTGTTTGTTTGGGGTTTAACAGCTTTGCCACAGCCAGGGTCATATGATTACAGCATTATTTGGCACACATTTTATCTCATTGCTTATACTTTTTTTGGACCCAAATGATGTCAAAGGTGTTGATTTGAACAATACAGATTTTGTTACACTTCCAATTCTATATACACATTGGATACATTTGATCAAAATGATTTAAAAGCTGTTTCTAGGAGTCAATAGAAGTCAATAGAAATAGAAATGTTGATATGAATACAAATTTGGATTTACTTTGGATTAACTTTTTATCAATTTTGCTTTCAACAGTGCAATTTGATATAAATGGTATGAAATTAGTAAGATTTGAGGAAAAGTTTGAAAGTTGAATTTCCGCAGTGTTAACAGAATTTAAATAAAGGTGCTCTAAGAGCAGCCAAATCATTCAAAATACAACAAGACCGAATAAAAAACTTTCAATAGCTTGACCGTTTGAATCACTGTTACTGCAAATGGTCAAATTGCTATACATATTGACACAGTAGGACATAGTTGTGTGGTTTACAGGTATTGCTGGAACCTGGTGAGCTGTCGTATGATATACACAGTAACACTTAGTCCTTACTTAACATCTATTATGTAATTGGAAATTCATTTTTACTTGATAAAAAGTCAATATATGTACAATAAACTCAATGATGCAGATTAATCAACGTTAACCTTATTTTATCCCAGGGAATATATTTTTGATTGCTTGATGTAAAGTTTCTTTCTACTAGTCATGCTTTGAAATTCCAGTATACAAATCAACCAGCCCTTGTATTTTAAAACAAATTTTACTCTATCTTTAGTATTTAGATAATTCTCCCCTCCCACTTTCCAATACATATTTTTATCAGCAGGGTGATCAATACAGAACATTCGGTTTCTGCCAAGCTTAATCATTCTTAAAACACAATATATAATTAATATGAATAATACCACACAAAACAAATTCTGAACAATTAACACATATTAAAAATTAAAATTATTACATATACCGTATTAAAAATTAAAATTATTACATTACAATTATTAAGAATTGAAAGTAAGAATTATTACCTATTATTAATACCATCTCTCACCAAATTGCTATGGCCAGATTATCCTTTATTTCCCAAACTTCCAATCACAATGTTAAAATATCAAAGACTTAATTCATAAGAAAACTCCCCAAGTTGGTGTTCCTGTATAAGGCTAACTTGTTGCCATATGAATTGATGTTGTAAGCGACTGTTTATAATAGAGACCAAAAGTCAAACCAAAATAAGATTCTGCTAAAATAATGATATCTCCTCTTAAACGACATTTATCTAAAACTTTTTTCTAGATAGTAAAATATCTGCAAGAATTTTTTCTCATTTTGTTTTTGAATTAAACAAGATCTTTTCACAACCATTTTTCTCTATAAAATTCTATTTCCTGTATGGTACTGTTTTTGGGTATTATACTCACCAGACACTGTGTGGAGGAGAGAGTGTTCGATGTCCTCTGCGATGGTGTGGGTATTCACTGTGGGGAAGTACTCTATATTCTTCCAGTGTCGTTCCAAGGCAGGACCCCAGTTAGACTCAGAATGGCAGCTTTTCTGTAGCCGCTGTAGTGGATAGTATTACCATGACAAAGACTATATACACTGAATTCTTACAACCTGGTTACAGAGAAGGGAATTTGTATGCAAAACATATCTAGATTAGCTATATGTAAGGCTACTAATTTAGAGTGTTAATTAGCTATGTAAGGTTACTAATTCAGAGTGTTAGTTAGCTCTACAATGATCTTGATGAAGTGGTTTAGCATGCACATAACTTACATAACTGCCTGTATTTTTGCCAGAATCAATTAAATTTTTCCTAATGTCTTATATTTTTACAACAAGCTGAATATTTTATGCAAAATATGAAAATCTGTGACAACTCCAATTGTCTCTCTTAAACCATACTAGCCCGTGCACATTTTTCCTAACCTGCAACAGGGATCCCTCCTTGGAAATGACCTGGAATAACCCACACACAGGGATGGCTATGACAGGGGTAAGTGTGATGATGAATCCCAAGATCTCAGCCCAATCAGGGTAGGCATCCGTATCATACTTGATTGACAGTGGCTCGTAACCAATCACAGAGAAGATGAGAATAAACTGAAATCAAAAGTATAAAATATCAAACACCTCATTTCTCAGACATATCCTATTTGTCTAACTTTTCTTTTTTTTAACAGAATCTAAACAAATAGTCACATTTCAGCAAATACTATATTAGCTGACCTATATATATCTTTCTTTGACTTTAAGTCAACCTTGCCTGTACTAATACAAACCTGTTACTCAAAGTAAACAAAAAGCCCAAAGGGGCTGTATTGCTCTCCTAAATATATAAGCAATAAAGGAAAAACATTCTCATTAAAAAGAAACTTATTGCAAAAATTTCCCCATTTTGGACTCTGCCTCTTAGCATGCTTGAGGACAACAGCCTTCCTTTATAATGATTTATTTTATTCCCTGGTCCTTAGGACGCTTCATAACAAATTGGTTGAAATATATTTAACTTTTCATAGTGAGTAACCATTGTAATGATTTAACACCCAAATGATCCCCTTTTAGGTCCTAGGCCTCAAGAGGAAGTACACTCAATCCTTTACAGTCACAGGTGCAGATAGTAGGTTGCAAAGAACTATGATTAGGAAATTTGGTTAAGATCCATAACACATGCATGTATAGTTTTGATAGGGTGGGGATCTCAATTTGTTAAATTTTATTTTTATGACCCTGTGACTAGATTCGCTGGGGTGGGGCTAGACCTTGGAGCCAATCCAGGTGGCATAATTGTGTTGGTCCTTTATGCCAAGCAAGCCAGTACATATAAGTGGTTATACTTGGTGGAGAATCAACCATATCAAAGCTGTTAGGGTGGTCATTCTCTCCACTGGTACACTTTTGAATTCCTACCACCTAAGGATGTTTCCAGTTAAAATTAATTAAATACCATTCAGCAAAAAATCAAAATATCTTGGGTTTTGGGGAAGAACAAAAGTGATGTATACTTACTATAATGATAAGGGGCGTCATAACACACCACATCGCCTGCCACCAATAGCTAACACTCCTTCCCACCATGTGCTTGATGTCGCGAGAGAACTGCTTCACCCCGTACACCCAGCCAATGGCAACACAGACAAAGATGCCGTTGATTAGGATGGGAAAGCCAGCTGCATATTCATCCATGAGTTGCAGAACATACATTCCTCCCTAAAGAGAAAGATTCTGTATCATGACCTTACCATGACACAGCTGAGTAAAGCCTCGATAATCAAGCCACCATCTTTACCACCAAAAGTGGCTGATGGAGGCACCTGAATTACTGGAGACGCCTTTGCATAGAACACCAACATGTCCCCTAAAACTTGGGCTTAACCTAGGCACATTCATATTAATGCGGTTTACTTGTAATCGAATTTGGCTGCATGGTGAGATATTGATTTTGTATGGCCACAAAGATTAAGCTAGTTTATGTTTCAAATATTATAGTTCCACTAACCTGAAAAAATCTTCATATACACCAAGAGAACATGTTTATTGCATCATTACACAATACAACTTAAATTTCATGGAAGTCACTCCAAAAAGTTTTGAGACGTCACAGTGACATATCATGAGGTGATGGGTGGGAAATGTCATGATAATCCGGAACTTTGTTTACCTGTGTGGTGAGAGGAAGTCCCAATAGAAACAAGAACCCACACACGATGGACACAACCAAGACCCGTCGTCGCCGTAACAATGTGATGTTTTCATCGATGATAGCAGTGATGACCGTCTCAATGTTGACAAATTGTGTACTTAATCCTAACATGACAATCATGAGAAAGAAGAGTAGGGACCAGAGGGGGGCTGCGGGGAGGAAAGACATGGCTGCGGGATTAACGATAAATGTCAGTCCAACACCTGATAAACAAAAAAAGAATAATACAATATTTTATACATAACTTCACACAATGAAAGAGTTAACCTGTTTATTACTTGAGTTAAGACACAGATATGTATGTGCAAGCAAAGAACAAGTACTAAAACCTACTGCAAACATTTGGCGTATCAGGGGATACTCACTCTATAACAAACCTACTAATAGTAACAAATTCTTTTCAAAAGATTTTAAAGGAAGCTAGACTCTGCGAAGTCACAGAGAAGCTTGATAAAGAACGCGAGCTAGACTCCAAAGAAATCAAGAGAAGCAGCTAGACTCTGAAATACTCCAGAGAAGCGACTAGACTCCTAATATCCATGGAGAAGCTATAAAAGACTATGAATTGGAAACGTTAGACTCCGAAGAAGGCAAGAGAAGTCACTAGCAATATTATATTAAACCTGCTATAGGTTTGTCAATAAAACATAAATTCAGACTTTAATTTTCTAGAAGAAAACATTTCCTATGAAATACTTTCTAGATACCATATTCACTTCAAGTATGAAATGAAATCTATGTTTAAAGATTTCCCATCATTTTTTAAATTACTTTTTAGACAAAACTTAACTCTGAGCAAAACCTATGAAACCCTGAGAAATCCTTGAAAAATATTTGATTTTTATCAATATTTGATTTTTATCAGGGAGCGACTGTGTTTATGAAATGTTTGCCACGTAGGCCTACCACACTTATATCAAGTTTAAACTAATTAACTTAAAAGTTGGTTCCGGATAATGTTCATAGATAAATCATGATCAAAATGAATAGGGTTCACCCTGTTCTCTAGGATAACTTACAATACAAGTCTATCCTTTGTGTGTAGGACAACTTACAATACAAGTCTATCCTTTGTGTGTAGGACAACTTACAATACAAGTCTATCCTTTGTGTGTAGGACAACTTACAATACAAGTCTATCCTTTGTGTGTAGGACAACTTACAATACAAGTCTGTCCTTTGTGTGTAGGACAACTTACAATACAAGTCTGTCCTTTGTGTGTAGGACAACTTACAATACAAGTCTTTCCCTTTGTGTGTAGGACAACTTAAAACACAAGTCTGTCCTTCTCTAGGACAACTTACAATACAAGTCTGTCCTTCTCTAGGACAACTTACAATACAAGTCCATCCTTCTCTAGGACAACTTACAACACAAGTCCGTCCTTCTCTAGGACAACTTACAACACAATTTTTAAGTCCATCCTTCTCTAGGACAACTTACAACACAAGTCTGTCCTTCTCTAGGACAGCTTACAGTTCAAGTCTGTCCTTTGTGTGTAGGACAACTTAAAATGCAAGTCTGTCCTTTGTGTGTAGGACAACTTACAACACAAGTCTGTCCTTTGTGTGTAGGACAACTTACAACACAAGTCTGTCCTTCTCTAGGACAACTAACAACACAAGTTTGTCCTTCTCTAGGACAACTTACAACACAAGTCTGTCCTTCTCTAGGACAACTTACAACACAAGTCTGCCCTTCTCTAGGACAACTTACAACACAAGTCCGTCCTTCTCTAGGACAACTTACAATACGAGTCTGTCCTTCTCTAGGACAACTTACAACACAAGTCTGTCCTTCTCTAGGACAACTTACAACACAAGTCTGCCCTTCTCTAGGACAACTTACAACACAAGTCCGTCCTTCTCTAGGACAACTTGAAACACAAGTCTGTCCTTCTCTAGGACAACTTACAACACAAGTCTGTCCTTCTCTAGGACAACTAACAACACAAGTCCATCCTTCTCTAGGACAACTTACAACACAAGTCTGTCCTTCTCTAGGACAGCTTACAGTACAAGTCTGTCCTTTGTGTGTAGGACAACTTAAAATACAAGTCTGTCCTTTGTGTGTAGGACAACTTACAATACAAGTCTCCTTTGTGTGTAGGACAACTTACAATACAAGTCTGTCCTTTGTGTTAAGGACAACTTACAACACAAGTCTGTGTTTCTCTAGGACAACTTACAACACAAGTCTGTCCTTCTCTAGGACAGCTTACAGTACAAGTCTGTCCTTTGTGTGTAGGACAACTTAAAATACAAGTCGGTCCTTTGTGTGTAGGACAACTTACAATACAAGTCTGTCCTTTGTGTTAAGGACAACTTACAACACAAGTCTGTCCTTCTCTAGGACAACTTACAACACAAGTCTGTCCTTCTCTAGAACAACTAACAACACAAGTCCGTCCTTCTCTAGGACAACTTACAACACAAGTCTGTCCTTCTCTAGGACAACTTACAACACAAGTCCGTCCTTCTCTAGGACAACTTACAACACAAGTCTGTCCTTCTCTAGGACAACTTACAACACAAGTCTGTCCTTCTCTAGGACAACTTACAACACAAGTCCGTCCTTCTCTAGGACAACTTACAACACAAGTCTGTCCTTCTCTAGGACAACTTACAACACAAGTCCGTCCTTCTCTAGGACAACTTACAACACAAGTCTGTCCTTCTCTAGGACAACTTACAACACAAGTCTGTCCTTCTCTAGGACAACTTACAACACAAGTCCGTCCTTCTCTAGGACAACTTACAACACAAGTCTGTCCTTTGTGTGATATGTTCTGAAGTTTCTATCTATGTGTTGAGATTTGAGGACTCATACCCTAATCTGTCTTTTTCTTTGGGGAATCTACATAACAAACATCTGACAATACTATCTGCAATTTTTACCTGAGGCTATGACGTTCTCGACTGACGTGTTGAGTTCGTTGCTGAGGACGCCCATCATGGCAAAGACGGAGAATCCTGCTAGAACACTCATCAACGTGTCGCCCAAACAAACAAGTATTGCATCACTGTAATACAAAACATCCTAACTTGTAATGTTGAAGGCGGGTTTTTCGACAATGGCACTTTTATAATTGCTAAGGGTAAGGAGACCTATAGCATACCTACAGTTCACTACGGGGTGATGGTCACGGCAGTGTTATTTTTGTATAAGGAATCAACTGTGAGTTCAATAATGCAGTGAACATTTTCAGCTTTGGATATTATTATAACATCTAGTTCAAAACTAAAGACCAAGAATACTGGTTTAAAATATCGGATCATAATGTTGCTCTGACAATTTTCACACTGAAACTTTACAGGTAGTCCGAATTATTCTGACGTTTTATCAACTTTTTTCATATCGGTCTGTCGTCGATTAACGTCAGAACTCCGACCCTCTATAATATGCGGGAAATATGCGACCCGCACCCGGAGCGCACTTCAAACTGATATTTTAGAAACAAATCGTCACTTTCACACACATGTCGCACATGAATCGAAAGATCTATTCTTTATGCACTAGGTGGTATCAATAACATGTTTCAAAGATCATTACGAAAAGTATTTTCCAACGTTTTCTATACCAACCCATGTTTTTAATGAAAATTAGGCCATGAGCAATGTCACATGACTTGACGAGATCTCGCGTTACCGAAGGTATTTCCCAACGTTATGACGTATCCCGGCGAGATTTAAGTCACGTGACATTAGAAGGCGGGGCTATCAAAAAACTAGAGTAAAACAGAGTAAGTTTGAAAAAATATGTTTTTAGTGATTGTATTGGTTGTTTGAGGCATGTTATGTATGTTCATCTTGTACATAAAGAATAGATCTTTCGATCCATGTGCGACATGTGTGTGAAAGTGACGATTTGTTTCTAAAATATCAGTTTGAAGTGCGCTCCGGGCGCGGGTCGCATATTTCCCGCAGATTATAGAGGGCCGGAGTTCTGACGTTAATCGACGACAGACCGATATGAAAAAAGTTGATAAAACGTCAGAATAATTCGGACTACTTAACAGGCAGCTAACAAATAAATGCATCAACTTAAGGTAGTCTGATGAATATGCTCGGGTCACTTTTTTAAGCTATTTAACAGATAGATGAGCATCCTTTGAATTCCACACCGCGAGAACATAAATATTGCCTCACAAACTGCAACTTTTTATAACAAAATATAAGCAGCATGGCAGCTACGTATACATATCATATTAGCTATGGGAACCATATCTTCAATGCTCAATTATTTTTGTATCAGATTATGTATGGTCCGATCATAAAAGAAAAAAAATGATCTGGCCTAGAAGGTTTCCACAGCTATGCACATGATATTGGCCCAAATTAAGTTAGGAACTATTTATTTATATTCTGGCACTTGTTTGTTCTATGGTGTTTTTCAATAATTTAATCTAAAAAAATATCAAGGAACAACAGCGACTTATATTAAATGGTTTTTTTTGTCCTTTAGCTCAGTTTTTTTTTTAAGACAGAACACACTTTTTCATTAGAAAAACAGAATAATGAGACTTTTTTGTATTTTTGAGAAATAAAACCAACAATCTGAAATAAATTATACTGAAAGTTATTTGATTTGTTATGAAATCACACAATGAAATCACACACTCTTCAAGAAATCAAAAACAACTTTATTACATAATTTATCACTTCAACAGTCTCTGTCATGTTCTCATAGGATTTTCAGCCCATGAATTAGACAGAAATATAACAACCCATTTGGTAGGTCAGGATCTTACCTTCTGATTGTATTTAATTTCAATTTCATCAAAATTATTCCAATCAAGTCCTGAATCATTTCCTGCTAATTATGGACAAAATATTGTCAAAAATATTATTTCCCTTTAAAAACTACAGTAAACTTGATCACCTCCCTTGAGCATAGGCATTGTAATGTAGAGGTCCTGAATCAACCCGTGCTGTTTTTGAGTGTTTTTTTTTATTTCTTTTTTCAAACATTAAAATTTAGAACCACTATGTTTCTGTATATTTTTTTTGGGGGGGGGGGTAACATTTCACAGCAGTGACAATGGTAATGTCCTAGTTTACTTTATTGGCACCCTTTAATAAGTTAAAAAAAAAAATGTGTATTATCTGAACAATCAATATTACTTTTATAAATCTGTGTCAATTTTAACCTATCGTACAGCTAATTATTAAAAGCTTCTTTTATCAAAACCAGTCTCACGCAAACCAATATAAACGCCTGTCAGTCATACTTAGGCCACACCCACTTACCAATTCCTCCATCTCAGCATCATTTCACATTTTTTCTTCACAGAATTTATTCTGCATTAAATGGTATAAAGTCATAATCTGACTGCTGTAAAATGTTCAATTCCCTTTTTTAAAATTCCCTCCTTTTTACCCTTGAGAAACAAGAGGCCCAGAGGGCCTGTTTCACTCACTTGGATAAAAAGCAACCATGGGAAAATATTCTTATTACATAAAATACCTCCAATGGTTCAGAAGAAGAAGGATTTTAAAGACTTCAACCTCAAATTCCCATATTGGGCCAGCAACTCTGACACCCAAAGGGGTTGCACCCTCCATTTATACTATTTTTTCCCCCTTCACCAAAGGATGCTCCAGGTCAAATGTAAATAAAATCCCTCAAATGGTAGAGATGAAAAAGGATTTTGAAGACTTCAACCTCAAAATCCCCTATTAGGCCCCACAACTCTGCACCCAGTACAACAGTGGAGTGTTTCATAGTATTACCCTCAATTTATACAAAATTGAGTCCCCTTTGCCAAAGGATACTCCAGGTCAAATGTGGATAAAATCCATCTAATAACACAAAAGGAGAAGGATTTTAATGATTTTAACCTTGAATTCCCCTTTTGTGCCCTGCTGCTTTGCATCCAGAGGGGCCACAGTGCAGAGGGGCCACACCTACTGTTTATACAAAAATAAAGTCGCCTTTGCTCAAGGATGCTCCAAGCCAAATTTGGATAAAATCCCTTCAATGGTACAGAAGAAGAAGGATTTTAAATATTCAATTCCCCTTTTGCGCCCCGCCCCTCTACACCCAAAGGGGCCACACCCACCATTTATACAAAACTAAGTCATCTTGGCCCAAGGCTGCTTAAGACCAAATTAGGATCAAATCCCTTTATCCCTATGGTAGGAGAAGAATGTCAAAGATTTTACTTCTATTTCCCCTAATTTGGACTCTGCCCCTAAGGGGTCCAAACTCACTGTTTATACAAAGTCCTTGTCCCAAGGATGTTCCAGACCAAATTAGAATTCTTTTACCATAATCCCTATGGTAAAAGAAGAATTTTAAAGGTTTAACCTCTATTTCCCCTATTTGGACCCACTCCTCTGGCCCAAGGGGTGCCACACCCACAATTTATACAAAATTTAGTCCCCTCAGCCCAAGTATGCTCCAGACTAAATAAGGATCAAATCCCTTTATCCCTATGAAAGAAGAAGGCATTTCAAGATTTGACCTCTATTTCCCCTATTGAGCCCCGCCCCTCTGCCCCCGGGGGGGGGGGGCACATCCACCGGTTTTACAAAATTGAGAGCCCTTTGCCCAAGGATGTTTCAGACCAAATTTCGATAAAATCCCTTAATCTGTATGGTACATAGAAGAAGGATTTTAAAGGTTTACCTCTTTTTCCCTATTCGACCCCACCCCTCTGCCCCCAGGGGGGCCACATCCATCGTTTATACATAAATTTCGTTCTCTTGGGCCAAGGATGCTCCAGACGAAATTTAGATAAAATCCCTTTATCACTACGGCAGGAGGGCCACAGCCACTGTTTATACAAAATTGAATGCCCTTTGCCTAAGGGTGCTCCAGACAAAATTTAGTCAAAATCTACTGGGCCGTTCAGTGCTAGTAGTGTTTTAAATGAAAGGTTGACAGACGACGGATGCTACGCTATGGCATAATAAGCTCACAGGTCCTTTGGACCAGTCGAGCTAACGACGAAAACTCAACAAGGTGCATGAATGGTGACAGATACAGTACAATAATTACAAAACATTGGGAGGGCCAGGCACTAGGCAAATTTGTCCGACTTGGCAGGTTTGACCATTAGATTCATCCTCATCAAGTATATGTTTTGGTTAAACAGTTTTTGTACAGAAAATTAAGACTATTTTAATTTATTCAGTATATTACATGGTAGAACTGCTTATTCAACAGATCATTATATTGTTGAATCTGATTACTGAACTTTTTCTCACCAGTTCACTTTTTTCCTCAATAACCCATTAGTTATTTCACAGAACTGTGATAGAGTCATTGAGCATTTATTGTTACTACTGAAAAGATAATGTGATAAGACTATTTTTTGCTATGTTGAAAAGTGTTTATGCCAAAAAATAGTATCAACTAACTCAGGTATAATAAGAATGTCCCCAGTTGCTGACAGTCAATTTCACTCTACAGCTTACAAACTTACCTGTAAATATTATTGTGGAATTTATTGTAGCTGGCTAAGGTTGTTAAGCCTCCCATACAAGCTGATAATGAAAAGAAAACTTGGACAGCAGCATCTGCCCATACGCCTGGCTCTTTTAACCGCTCCCATTTTGGTGTGACATAAAATTTGATCCCTTGCATGTAGCCTTCCATCATGAATGCTCGTATCAGGAGAGCGAAGATAATGATGTAGGGAAATGTGACAACACAGTATGCAACCTGAAACAGTAAAGATAATGATGTAGGGAAATGTGACAACACAGTACACAACCTACAACAGTAAAGATAATGTTGTAGAGAAATGTGACAACACAGTACACAACCTACAACAGTAAAGATAATGATGTAGGGAAATGTGACAACACAGTACACAACCTACAACAGTAAAGATAATGATGTAGGGAAATGTGACAACACAGTACACAACCTACAACAGTAAAGATAATGATGTAGGGAAATGTGACAACACAGTACACAACCTACAACAGTAAAGATAATGATGTAGGGAAATGTGACAACACAGTACACAACCTACAACAGTAAAGATAATGATGTAGGGAAATGTGACAACACAGTACACAACCTACAACAGTAAAGATAATGATGTAGGGAAATGTGACAACACAGTACACAACCTACAACAGTAAAGATAATGATGTAGGGAAATGTGACAACACAGTACACAACCTACAACAGTAAAGATAATGATGTAGGGAAATGTGACAACACAGTACACAACCTACAACAGTAAAGATAATGATGTAGGGAAATGTGACAACACAGTACACAACCTACAACAGTAAAGATAATGATGTAGGGAAATGTGACAACACAGTACACAACCTACAACAGTAAAGATAATGATGTAGGGAAATGTGACAACACAGTACACAACCTACAACAGTAAAGATAATGATGTAGGGAAATGTGACAACACAGTACACAACCTACAACAGTAAAGATAATGATGTAGGGAAATGTGACAACACAGTACACAACCTACAACAGTAAAGATAATGATGTAGGGAAATGTGACAACACAGTACACAACCTACAACAGTAAAGATAATGATGTAGGGAAATGTGACAACACAGTACACAACCTACAACAGTAAAGATAATGATGTAGGGAAATGTGACAACACAGTACACAACCTACAACAGTAAAGATAATGATGTAGGGAAATGTGACAACACAGTACACAACCTACAACAGTAAAGATAATGATGTAGGGAAATGTGACAACACAGTACACAACCTACAACAGTAAAGATAATGATGTAGGGAAATGTGACAACACAGTACACAACCTACAACAGTAAAGATAATGATGTAGGGAAATGTGACAACACAGTACACAACCTACAACAGTAAAGATAATGATGTAGGGAAATGTGACAACACAGTACACAACCTACAACAGTAAAGATAATGATGTAGGGAAATGTGACAACACAGTACACAACCTACAACAGTAAAGATAATGATGTAGGGAAATGTGACAACACAGTACACAACCTACAACAGTAAAGATAATGATGTAGGGAAATGTGACAACACAGTACACAACCTACAACAGTAAAGATAATGATGTAGGGAAATGTGACAACACAGTACACAACCTACAACAGTAAAGATAATGATGTAGGGAAATGTGACAACACAGTACACAACCTACAACAGTAAAGATAATGATGTAGGGAAATGTGACAACACAGTACACAACCTACAACAGTAAAGATAATGATGTAGGGAAATGTGACAACACAGTACACAACCTACAACAGTAAAGATAATGATGTAGGGAAATGTGACAACACAGTACACAACCTACAACAGTAAAGATAATGATGTAGGGAAATGTGACAACACAGTACACAACCTACAACAGTAAAGATAATGATGTAGGGAAATGTGACAACACAGTACACAACCTACAACAGTAAAGATAATGATGTAGGGAAATGTGACAACACAGTACACAACCTACAACAGTAAAGATAATGATGTAGGGAAATGTGACAACACAGTACACAACCTACAACAGTAAAGATAATGATGTAGGGAAATGTGACAACACAGTACACAACCTACAACAGTAAAGATAATGATGTAGGGAAATGTGACAACACAGTACACAACCTACAACAGTAAAGATAATGATGTAGGGAAATGTGACAACACAGTACACAACCTACAACAGTAAAGATAATGATGTAGGGAAATGTGACAACACAGTACACAACCTACAACAGTAAAGATAATGATGTAGGGAAATGTGACAACACAGTACACAACCTACAACAGTAAAGATAATGATGTAGGGAAATGTGACAACACAGTACACAACCTACAACAGTAAAGATAATGATGTAGGGAAATGTGACAACACAGTACACAACCTACAACAGTAAAGATAATGATGTAGGGAAATGTGACAACACAGTACACAACCTACAACAGTAAAGATAATGATGTAGGGAAATGTGACAACACAGTACACAACCTACAACAGTAAAGATAATGATGTAGGGAAATGTGACAACACAGTACACAACCTACAACAGTAAAGATAATGATGTAGGGAAATGTGACAACACAGTACACAACCTACAACAGTAAAGATAATGATGTAGGGAAATGTGACAACACAGTACACAACCTACAACAGTAAAGATAATGATGTAGGGAAATGTGACAACACAGTACACAACCTACAACAGTAAAGATAATGATGTAGGGAAATGTGACAACACAGTACACAACCTACAACAGTAAAGATAATGATGTAGGGAAATGTGACAACACAGTACACAACCTACAACAGTAAAGATAATGATGTAGGGAAATGTGACAACACAGTACACAACCTACAACAGTAAAGATAATGATGTAGGGAAATGTGACAACACAGTACACAACCTACAACAGTAAAGATAATGATGTAGGGAAATGTGACAACACAGTACACAACCTACAACAGTAAAGATAATGATGTAGGGAAATGTGACAACACAGTACACAACCTACAACAGTAAAGATAATGATGTAGGGAAATGTGACAACACAGTACACAACCTACAACAGTAAAGATAATGATGTAGGGAAATGTGACAACACAGTACACAACCTACAACAGTAAAGATAATGATGTAGGGAAATGTGACAACACAGTACACAACCTACAACAGTAAAGATAATGATGTAGGGAAATGTGACAACACAGTACACAACCTACAACAGTAAAGATAATGATGTAGGGAAATGTGACAACACAGTACACAACCTACAACAGTAAAGATAATGATGTAGGGAAATGTGACAACACAGTACACAACCTACAACAGTAAAGATAATGATGTAGGGAAATGTGACAACACAGTACACAACCTACAACAGTAAAGATAATGATGTAGGGAAATGTGACAACACAGTACACAACCTACAACAGTAAAGATAATGATGTAGGGAAATGTGACAACACAGTACACAACCTACAACAGTAAAGATAATGATGTAGGGAAATGTGACAACACAGTACACAACCTACAACAGTAAAGATAATGATGTAGGGAAATGTGACAACACAGTACACAACCTACAACAGTAAAGATAATGATGTAGGGAAATGTGACAACACAGTACACAACCTACAACAGTAAAGATAATGATGTAGGGAAATGTGACAACACAGTACACAACCTACAACAGTAAAGATAATGATGTAGGGAAATGTGACAACACAGTACACAACCTACAACAGTAAAGATAATGATGTAGGGAAATGTGACAACACAGTACACAACCTACAACAGTAAAGATAATGATGTAGGGAAATGTGACAACACAGTACACAACCTACAACAGTAAAGATAATGATGTAGGGAAATGTGACAACACAGTACACAACCTACAACAGTAAAGATAATGATGTAGGGAAATGTGACAACACAGTACACAACCTACAACAGTAAAGATAATGATGTAGGGAAATGTGACAACACAGTACACAACCTACAACAGTAAAGATAATGATGTAGGGAAATGTGACAACACAGTACACAACCTACAACAGTAAAGATAATGATGTAGGGAAATGTGACAACACAGTACACAACCTACAACAGTAAAGATAATGATGTAGGGAAATATGACAACACTGTACACAACCTACAACAGTAAAGAAAATAATGTAGAGAAATGTGACAACACAGTACACAACCTACAACAGTAAAGAAAATAATGTAGAGAAATGTGACAACACAGTACACAACCTACAACGGTAAAGATAATGGTGTAGGGAAATGTGACAACACAGTACACAACCTACATCAGTGAAGATAATGATGTAGGGAAATGTGACAACACAGTTGGTATACAACGGTGAATATAATGATGTAGGGAAATGTGACAACACAGTACACAACCTACAACAGTAAAGATAATGATGTAGGGAAATGTGACAACACAGTTGGTATACAACAGTGAATATAATGATGTAGGGAAATGTGACAACACAGTACACAACCTACAACAGTGAAGATAATGATGTAGGGAAATGTGACAAAACAGTACACAACCTACAACAGTAAAGATAATGATGGAGGGAAATGTGACAACACATTAGACAACCTACAACAGTAAAGATAATGATGTAGGGAAATGTGACAACACAATAGGTAACGAGTACAACAGTTAAGATAATGGTGTAGGGAAATGTGACAACACATTAGACAACTTACAACAATCAAGATAACTACATGTAGAACTGTAAGCCAAAGGCTAACTAATACCCTCCGCTGCTATACAAACCAGAACTGCAAGCTAAAGGCTTACTAAGGCAAAGCATTTACGAATCCTTACCTTTCCTGAAGTTCTGATTCCTTTTACTAAACACACAAAGACAATAAGCCAGGCTAACATCAGACACAACGCCAGCTCCCATTGGATATAACCAAGGTTACCAAGAGAATGTCCTGCCATGCCCAGAACACGGTTACTGAAAGGAAATGAACAATTTAGTTTGTATCAGATCTGCTATTGTATAATGGTACAATATTACAGCCGTTAACTCGAAGTTAAAATTCCCTTACCTATATAATAAAGTTTATACGTCGGTTAAATCCCTATTTAATCTTTCACACAACTCCCCCTCCCCCAAAGGGGGGGAACTTAGCTGAACATCCTCTCACCCTTACTTAGTCTTTATATGGGTATATACTCTGAGGAGGGGGCATACCCTTTAGTTATACAACTCTGAGTCTTTTTGGTCCATTATCCCTTGTGCCAAATTAGGGTAAATTCACTTTGTTTATACCATAATGAGTCCTTTTAACCAAAGGATGCTAGGCAATGCCAGTCAGCTAACTTGGTCTCAACCTTTTTTTACATGAAAGGTTGATACATTTACTACCACAGCAAAGCTCACATGCCCTTTAGACAGCTGAGCTAATAAATACCTTCAGAATATAATTTAAAAAATATCAACATCCTGAGCCTTTTGGTTATTCAGAACAAGTTGTTGAAATATTTTGAACATATTTGCTCCTTGTGACCTTGAATATGATTCAAGGTCATACATTTAAACAAACTTGGTAGCCCTTGATCCTAGTATGCTACTGACTAAATATCATCACCCTGGGCATTTTGGTTATTCAGAAGAAGTTGTTTAAAGTTTTTAACATATTTGACCCCTGTGACCTTGAATATNGTCATGCATTTGAACAAACTTTGTAGCCCTTCATCTCAGCATGCTACTGGCAAAATATCATCACCCTTTGCATTTTGGTTATTCAGAAGAAGTTGTTGAATGTTTTTCACATATTTGACCCCTGTGTCCTTGAATATAGGTGAAGGTCATTCATTTGAACAATCTTGATAGCCCTTTACCCCATCATGCTACTGGCCAAATATCATCACCCAGGGCATTTTGGTTAGTCAGAAGAAGTTGTTTAAAGTTTTTAACATATTTGACCCCTGTGACCTTGAATATAGGTGAAGGTCATTAATTTTAACACACTTTGTAGCCCTTTATCCAAGTTTGCTTCTGGCCAAATATCGACACCCTAGGCCTTTCGGTTATTAAGAAGAAGTCATTTAAATTAAATATTGACGCCGTACCACGGCCGGACGACGGACGCCGCGCCACGGCATAAGCTCACTTGGAAGTGCCAGGTGAGCTAAAAACAACAGCAATTGTTCACAACATTTCTTCAAGGACAAAAGTGAGACACATCTGAAGTTTATTTATGATTCAATTGAAGTTTTAAATGAGAGTTGTGTAACACTTGTAATTTGTTATATCAATCTTTTGTCATTCTAGAATACTCTTCAAGCTGATTTATTAACCAGTAGAAGTTATTGATAAGATAAGTTGGTCCTTCAAAATCAGACTGATCACAGTGAATTGTATACTTACAAAAAATACTCCTCTGTGGGACTTGCACGAGAGCCATCATATTTTGGCTCATCCAATAAAATGTCTTTTCCCAAAATGCCTTGCAGACTTTCAATGCAGTTCTGCATCAACTGAGTTTCGTTGTTTCCATGGTAGCTACAGTTTGTTACCACAGACACACAAGAGTCATTTAAAGTGAAGTTCTCTTGATCAAAATAAGTCTGGTTAATCCAAGAACAATTGTCCACACGGTACTGATTTGTACTGCATGCTGAAAAATAACCCGTCAGATATATCACTGTTAAATTTCATCTTAAAAACTCACTGAAAGAATCATAATATTATGAAAGTGTTAAATATTTCTAGATAATATTCTTAAACAAATATAAAATATAAAATATTAAACTACTATGCCTAAATCACAGGTCTAATAACCTTTACACCCATGTCAAATACATGTAGGTATCATTCCGGTGAAATGCTAACAACTGCTATTTCATTGTTCTACAGTAGTAAGCCTGTCCCCTTTATGTGTTGGCCCTCTTGGCTTAATGAAAGAGAACATGGTATCCGATGACTATCTGTAGGAACTCAAATAAATAGACAACATTCAAATTTGGACTTAAATCTTATTTCTTTCATTATAATGATTGCAAAGTAAAGCTAGTAAAACCTGTTATTGCACAGTAAACCCCTAGTGTGCCAACTGTGTGGGATACTCACCCTCGGTGTTCCAGTAGTTATCACAGCCAAGCCAGGGCAGCACTCCCGTCATTGACGCAAACAGGAAGTGGAATGCCCAAGCGTTCACCATATTGTAGTAGACGGAAACAATGGCAGAGGACAAAACCATGGATATACCAATACCTGTTCATCAAATTCACATTTCAAAATAGGGTATATTTGGCCTAAACTATATAATAGGTGAGACATTAAAGTACCTTCTCCCATGCAATTTATTTTCACTTTATGAGATTTCAATAAATAGCGATGATGACCTTGACCTTGGTTTGGGTTCCTGAAATTTGAATTTGTTCAAAGTATTCTCAAATGAGACCCCAACCCCCACCCTTCCTCTACAAACCAGACCCCCACCCTCACCCCTCCTCTACAAATGAGACCCCAACCCCCTACCCCACCCCTCCTCTACAAATGATACCCCCACCCCACTCCTTCTCTACAAATGATACCCCACCCCCACCCCTCCTCTAAAAATGAGACCCCAACCCCCACCCCTCCTCTACAAATGAGACCCCAACCCCCTACCCCACCCCTCCTCTACAAATGATACCCCCACCCCACTCCTTCTCTACAAATGATACCCCACCCCCACCCCTCCTCTAAAAATGAGACCCCAACCCCCACCCCTCCTCTACAAATGATACCCCCACCCCACTCCTTCTCTACAAATGATACCCCACCCCCACCCCTCCTCTAAAAATGAGACCCCAACCCCCACCCCTCCTCTACAAATGATACCCCCACCCCACTCCTTCTCTACAAATGATACCCCACCCCCACCCCTCCTCTAAAAATGAGACCCCAACCCCCACCCCTCCTCTACAAATGAGACCCCAACCCCCTACCCCACCCCTCCTCTACAAATGAGACCCCAACCCCCTACCCCACCCCTCCTCTACAAATGATACCCCCACCCCACTCCTTCTCTACAAATGATACCCCACCCCCACCCCTCCTCTAAAAATGAGACCCCAACCCCCACCCCTCCTCTACAAATGATACCCCCACCCCACTCCTTCTCTACAAATGATACCCCACCCCCACCCCTCCTCTAAAAATGAGACCCCAACCCCCACCCCTCCTCTACAAGGTAGCAGGTGCACAATACATACAAATTGGTCCAGAGAAGAAAGAGTGTAAAATTTTGTTAATCTAGAATCAATAAAAAATGAAAAATGTCCTTATAGTAACAGTAACCACTATTTAGAAAGGTATCAAACATTGTCTGGTCAGAATAAACATCAGCTCTACAATCTCAACAACCTTGATTGGAAGACACACAATCAATTTACAAATAATTAGATATTAGGGGACTTCAAAACAAAAGGACTGGTTTATAGAGGTTCACTATAAACTGACCTTTAAAAAGAGGTACAGCTTTCCACACGGTGATAGGCCCCAAACTGGCATATTGTCCAAAGGCCAGTTCCAAATAGACCAATGGCACGCCACAAAACACTAGCATTATTGCATAAGGAATGAAAAATGCTCCTGGAAAATAGAATGAGGATCATGTTGCAATTGGTTGATATCTTTACTAAGTAAAATGACAGATTTACTTTGACAACGTCTACATAATGGTTGAACATCATCATCAACAGTAACAAAGACTCCTGATCGCCATAAAAAAACTCATTTTCATTCTTTGAATGTGTAATGTAGATTTGTCTATTATATTATTATACAGTATAATATACTGTGCCCCATCTAGCTTGAAGGCGGCAAAGTATTTTGAGTAATCTATAGCTGTTCATCTCTGGACAAGCTTTGATAACAACTAGAATGAATGCTCCAGCTGTCTGTGTGGAAGGTCGGTGTCATGCTTAAACTATACCTTCTCCATGAAAGGCATCCTTCTGCATAAAGGTATCCCTACCAAAAAGTACAACCCCCTTCCTCCTGTACAAAAAGTCACTCCCTACCAAAATCTTAGGTACTGGTAGCTCAATTTCATTGTTGAGATGTACAAAATGCGGAAAACAACATGTAAACAAAGTGAAATACAATACTGTACAGAACTTTAAAAACTATTCAAATAAATTATTTTGCTATTGAGAAATATACCCTCTCCCCAAGGTAGAGCAGAGGATCTGGGAGATGATGAAATTTATAAATTAGGTAATGGTAATTTAGTTAAGAACCTTTCTATCCATGAACAGTAAAACATCTGAGTCTGATGAAGATTTTTTTAAACTTTTAACCATCATCCCCATTTGGGCCCCACCCCTCCAGCTCATTTTTTGTCTTGTTTCCCTATATAAACTATAGCAAATTTTACCCCCTCCCCAAAGGAGAACGGATGGCTCGGGGGTACTGTTATTCACAATTTAAATAGAACCCCTGATGATCTTTCCATCCGCGCAGAAATTGACTGTAGTAACTCTGAGTCTGGAGAAGAAGATTTTTGAAATATTGGTTAATTTTCCCTTTGGGGTCCACCCTGGCCCCTTAGGGTTGGGGTAGGTATCCCAAGGATGATTCTGACCTAGTTTGAAAAAATTCCATCTAATGGTTCTTGAAAAGAAGTCGAAAACGTAAAAAGTTTACGGCGACGCATGATGACGAACGGCAAGCGATCAGAATAGATCACTTGAGCAAAGCTCAGGCGACCTAATAACCCCTTCAACTTAGTAGAGGGTAGATCTAATTTTGAACTTATGAAATTAATTTAAAAACAACAGTAAATCTGACAATAATCTTCAAAGACTTCTAAAATAAAATTGTATTATCATGCATGTGAAATTTAACAGATTCACAAAATTACTGCATATTTAGTGAGCAAGATTTCCTGTTGATATGTCCTTAAAATGACTTTATGACCTATAACAAACTAAATCTTGGATTAATGGTGACCACCACAAGATTTCCTGTTGATATGTCCATAAATTGACCTTATGACCTATAACAAACTCAATCTTGGATGAATGGTGATCGACCACCACAAGATTTCCTGTTGATCTGTCCTTAAATTGACTTTATGACCTATAACAAACTCAATCTTGGATGAATGGTGACCACTACTGTATATTCTATACCAACATTGACCTTGAACTGCTGGTAATCTGGAAAACTTTAATTAAACATTTTACAAAAGATGCAATCTGGTTCTTAATTTACAAGTCCGGAAATATCAAAATGATATAATGCTGTAAGTGTGCCTTATTATAGCCATCATTAGTTTTAAAAATTGTGAAAAATCAATTTTCTGACAAGAGCATGAATATCATATTGGTTTTTGTAAGTCATCCATCATTTTGCATTTATTCAATGAGACCGTAAACCAGCTCGTAAATTTTAATAATAAACAACCACATGCGATTCAACCCAGACAGTATTGGCTACATAATGGGCTCATTTTTCAACTCATGATTATGGAGTCCAAGGTTTGCTTGTTATAGACAGGAATAATCTATGTAATGATCTATGCTTATGCATTGACATTCATCTATAATGCAGAATCTCCCTCAGGACCAGACTTGGATTGATCCAGATACCATTAATTACTCAAGTATGAAAGGCGGCATAATGAATGGAGGTCATACACATGCAATCCCTGTGCTGAAATATCACAATTTATTATTTATAGTAGTTGTTGATTTCTGGAATTTGTGTTTTTTCCTTTCATTTGCAATTTTTTTTTCTTTTTTTTCCAAAGCAATGAAAAACATCTCTAAAATAAAGATATGTTCCTAGGTCCTGGGATTCAAATTTTCCAGACTGTCCAAATCAGAATTCATTATTAAAATGTTTAGTTAATACAAAACTTTGAAGTGTTTACAATCATGTATAGAATCTTAGTTTTACAAATTCTGCAACTCATCAGCCTGACACTTGCTTTGAAATTATATCTTATTTAATTATTAAATATTTATAGCATTTCAACTTTCATGCTACTTTAAATCATATTTAAATTTCATGATTTTACATAATTAAACTTGTGGATGAATAACTTCCTGTGTTTTAGCTAATTAAGATTGCTCTGTTTCATATTAAAATACAGTCAAGTCCAGACCAAATACTATGGAAGTTTCCTTACTAAAGGTATTTTTCATGTTTTTTAATAATAATAATAATATACAACATTTGATATAGCGCCCTATCTTGCTAACATAAGCCACTCTAAAGCGCTTTGTGATGTTTTTTTCAGAGACAAATCTATGATCAAAGTTTAAGGTATTTAATTTAGTTTCAAGTTTCTACACTAGTTCAAATTCCAGTTCTCTCATCTTCTTAAATATCATATTTCTCTTTAGTTTCAAACTTATACAAATTCAACATATCTACTGGGGTTTTATAAAGAAATGTGCATGTATTTTCATACCTGTGTGTGTATAAACTGCATGCAAAATTACGCATTTCATATTCATCAATCGTTTTGTAAACATTATACAGATACATACATTTAATGATACATTAATTAAGGCACCTGTAATAAACTTTTTTGTATAATTTTGTCATTGCGGAGTTGTAGAGGGTATTTGATCCTAAATCAGTAAAATATTAGTAGCCCTCGGTAACTAGAACCTCACAATGTAATCTATGCACCACAGAGCTTTGAAACACACTGAAGATATAAGTATGCACTATTAACTAGCCAAGTGAGTCAAATATCAGATAGTCAGCAATCATTTAAAAGGAGGCTCAAAGGGATTGTACAGCAGCCCACCTGTTTTTTTTTCTGTTATATAAATCCATTTACAGAAAACAGTTACACTATTCCTTTAAACTTATACAACAATTTATGTGACTCCTATTTGAAGGACCAAGAATGCATCACAGCGAATTAGGTTGAGACCAGACTAACATTTATAATGGTGATAGAGTGGGATCTCCATCTCAATCAGTATCACTAATCATATCCCCAGGGTTGGGACTAGACTCCTGAGCTAATGCTGGAAGCATAATAGTGTTCTTATCTCCATGCCCAGAAATTGTGCTTAAAGAGTAACTGTAGTGCTGCAATATTTTTCAAGTAAAGAAAGATTGATAAATAGAACACTAAAAAAAATCACGTTTTTTTTTTTTGCAAAAATACCGAAGTTGTAACCTTTTTACTAAATTTCACACCTGAGCGCAAATCGGAAAATCTCCGATTTTGACCTACAACCGGAAGTGACGTAGCAGCGGTGACCCAAACTCAGATAAGCTCGGGTAGCCATTAAGAAACACTATCAAAACATCTTCGTCATGTTCGTGATTTACAAAGAAAACACGCCGGTATCTCGCTGTGGTCGACGTTGTGTTGCAGGAGGATGCTCCAATACTACTATCAGTGGAAGCCACAACTATTTACAAGTAATGATTCAGGGATAAAGTCCCCAGGGACGGGGACAGACCCCAAGCCAATTCTGGTAGCATGGTTGCTGCTTGTATCTCCATGCCCAGCAATTTTGTATACAATCATGGGATGTGGATCTCAACTGTTTCTGAGATATATGACCAAGGGACTTAGTCCCTGGGAGTGAGGCAGGACCTCAGGACACTGAGTCAAATCACCAAACATCACTGATATTTACCTCCACCATTTTTGTAGACGAGATACGGAAACCTCCATACATTGCCAAGGCCGACCACATATCCCAGGCAGGAGAGAACAAAGTCAAGGCGACTGCTCCAGTTACCACGGTAATTGCTGTCCTCCTCAGGCTCCTCGCTATCACCACTGTCCAGAGTGGTCAGTTCTGACAGATAGCCGTTGGTCATGTCGGCATCCTCAGTCTCCTAAAAATAGATTGGGTAAAAGTCTGGCATGTTAAGCTGTGGTGGAATGCCCTACAGCGACAATGACTTACTGTCTTTGACAATGAAACCTTTCTATGTACAGGGAGTGACCTTGACATTCATTTATTTCAATAATATAACTTATTACAGTCATTAATGATATATTTTATTTATAGCAACCTTAACCTTTCACTAAAACAGCTAGCATTAAAAATCTGGAGAGTATTCCAAGCTCAATTTAGTATAAGTGACCTAAGGACTTTTTGAATCAGTCAGCATTCAAATAAGCGTAGTGTTCCATATAGTTCTATTCAGAGTAATGAAGTATCCTTGACCTTTCATGGATCAACGTATAACATTTCATAACAAGGGGCCAAGGGGCCAAGCCTACCTGGTATTTTATTTTCAACTTAAAACCTTAGTACCATTCCAGTTTATCAAAAGAGTACAAGATATAAAAGTTGTATGAAAGACTACATGTAAATCTGTTTGGGCAGATAAGACACCGAGAACATGAGTGTATTCTTCATGTCCAGCAAACTTTGTAAAAGGCTATGTCATAGGGATCTCATCTGTTTCCATGTTATGACCCAGGGAGGTAGTCTCTAGGGGTTGGTCCAGACCTCCGGGCAAATCCTGGTGGCATTAAGGTATCATACCTAGCAATTGTATATTTGGTTATAGGGTGAGGAAAATCCCTTAATTCATATGTAAGGTGAAGGATTTTAATAATTTACATTTGTACCTCAATTTCCCCCAATATATTTGGTCACACCCCTCTGCCCTTGGGTGGGTGGGTGGGTGGGGCACAAGCACACTGTTTATATAAACCTGAGTCCCACTTAGTTGTCTACGCCTGCTCAGGTTCTCTTGACCAAAATTGGTTAAAATTCCCTCCATTTGTTTCGAAGGGAGAAGATTTCAAAATTTTTAAGTTTCCTTTATTTACAATACTGGGCCTCGCTCCTCTGCTGAAAGTGGGCCACACCCTTCATTCAAAACATAGTGGTCTTTGGCAGGTTCTCTTGACCAAAACTGGTTAAAATCCCTCCATTTGTATCCAAGGGGAAAAATATTAAAATAGGTCCCTAATTATTTACAATATTGAGCCCCACCCCTTTGCCTCAAGGCCTACACCCTCCATTTATACAAAATATAGCCCCCTTTGCCTACAGATGATAATCCCTCTATTCACAAAGAGAAAGGTAGCAAATACAGTAGAAATGGCCTGATCCTAAAAATAAAGGGCATGTCTCAGATAAACATGGATAGTGGATTCATCCTGCACAACACACCTACATATATATATATATATATATTTATAAACTACATTTTGAATTCACTTTTTTGAAGGAGAATTTTTTTTTTTCTCAAAAAGTGTTTTCCCGGCAGATTTGGGACTTTAAAAACCATGGTAACTACATAAAAAAACACCAAAATATGCAAAAAAACATGATTTCTAACCAAATTTTTTTTCTTCAAACCTGTCTTAAATTAAATATCACCTACTCAGTAACTGAAATACTCACGTTTTAGCATAGGTAGTTCAACTGGATTTTTCACAATATTTACACATGTGATTAGTACAAAAATAGACTACATGAAAAGCTACATGTAACTTAATTTGTGTAGACACAGATTTGTAAATGGCCAAAAATGTAGTCTCAAACCAAATTGTGTTGTTTTGTTTTTAAATATGAAGCCCACATAGTCCACTTCATGTATATGCCAATTTTGGTGCTGATTTGTTTTTTTTTTAAATTTTGATATATGTAATATTACAGTGGTTATTCATTGTACAAAAAGATCACCCATGGCCACCGTATGCTACCGTACACTGCTACAAAAGCTTTTAAAAGATTTAACTCTATTTCCCCTATTGAGCCCACCCCTCTGTTTCTACAAAATCAACCCTGTGCTCATCCAAAGATGCTCTAGAACTAGTTTGGTTCAAATCTTTACATAGGTACAAAAAGGAGAAGGATTGTTTATATTTTCCTCTATTTGCCCTATTAGGCCCCATTCCTCTGCCCCAAGGGGGGCCACAGACACAGTTTATACAAAGATGTTCCAGAACAAATTTGGTTTAAATCCCTACATTTATACAGAAGGAGAAACTATTTACTCTAGTTATCCCATTATTGGGCCCCGCCCCTTGCCCCCTGCCCACAGTGGGGCCAAACCCTCCATTCTTATTCATTTGAGATGTAACAAGCCATTCGATTGGTCAATCAAAATAATTTGCGACAGTAAAACTACAATATACTGTTCGCAAATTTCTCATATGCATATGAAGCCTGGATGGTGATTTGTAATGACGTTGATGACCCCGATACGTCATGTAATTGATTATTCATAACGTCATGAACAATAGCCTGACCCCGAAAGGTCAATGTAATTCCGTCTCACTTTGAATCTTTCTAAGTCACTAGTCCACAGCAAAGGGACCCAGAATTTGGAGAAAAAAAAACCACTCAAAAATATCTTAAAATTGTCGTTTCTTACGGTGGTTTTTGTTGATATGAATTAGTCATGAAATACTGTCGCAAATATCCGTTTTACTGGCTCAGCCACGAGTAGCCAGTAAAATTCAATTTGCTACAGTATAATAATGATATATCGCCACAAATTTCAAAATACAGTAGGGCTATCCCCTAATTTATACAAAATTGAGAACCATTTGGCCAATGATGCTCCCTTCCGGCCAGATGAGCTAAAAAGACACACAAAATCAATCTGATATATCAAATCAGTGATAGTAGATAAAGGTAAATATGTTCAGGATTCCTGCAGTCAGTGACTGAAGTAAGTCTAAGGGGAGTGATTGAATGAGTGAGCATGTCTATTAATGTTCCCTACAAAGGGAAGTGAATACAGGATCTAATGAGTTTTCAATTCATATGAGATTTCTGAACAGATTTCTGAGCTGAGCTAAAAAGAAAACTCAGGGATTGATATCAAGTTGTCAATGTGACCATGCGTGTATGTATTGTGAATCATACTTGGTGCTACTGCATGAGATAAATGCAAGACTGAATCAAACGATTAGAGCTCAGCTTTGACACAAAAAGAAAACAGGAACAGAGGATTAGTTATTAAATTGTTTACAGGCAAAACAATAGTTTAATGGTATAAAGCTAGGAACAGAGGAGTAATAAAAACAACTGGAGCACTCAGACAACATCAAAACAACTGGAGCACTCAGGAAACATCAAAACAACAGGAACACTTAGGACACATCAAAACAACAGGAACAGAGGAGTAATAAAAACAACTGGAGCACTCAGGAAACATCAAAACAACAGGAACACTCAGGACACATCAAAACAACAGGAACAGAGGAGTAATAAAAACAACTGGAGCACTCAGGAAACATCAAAACAACAGGAACACTCAGGACACATCAAAACAACCAAAAAACTCAGAAGACACCAACACAACAGGAACAGAGGAGTCACCATCACAACAGGAACACTCAGGAGTCACCAACACAACAGGAACACTCAGGGGACAACAACACAACAGATACAGAGGAGTCACCATCACAACAGGAACAGAGGAGTCACCAACACAACAGGAACACTCAGGAGTCAACAACACAACAGGAACACTCAGGAGTTACCATCACAACAGGAACACTCAGGGGACAACAACACAACAGGAACAGAGGAGTCATTAACACAACAGGAACACTCAAGAGACACCAACACAACAGTAACACTCAGGAGTCACCATCACAACAGGAACAGAGGAGTCACCAACACAACAGGAACAGAGGAGTCACCAACACAACAGGAACAGAGGAGTCACTAACACAGCAGGAACATTCAGGAGAATAACCACGACAGAAACAGAGGCATCACCAACACAACAGGAACATTCAGGAGACAATTACACAACAGGAACATCCAGGAGTCACCAACACAACAGGAACAGAGGAGTCATGAACACAACAGGAACCCTCAGGAGTCAACAACACAACAGGAACACTCAAGAAAATAACCACAACAGGAACAGAGGAGTCACCAACACAACAGGAACAGAGGAGTCACCAACACAACAGGAACAGAGGAGTCACGAACACAACAGGAACCCTCAGGAGTCACCAACACAACAGGAACACTCAGGAGTCACCAACACAACAGGAACACTCAGGAGTCAACAACACAACAGGAACACTCAGGGGACAACAACAAAACAGGAACACTCAGGGAACAACAACACAACAGGAACACTCAGGGGACAACAACACAACAGGAACAGAGGCGTCACTAACACAACAGGAACACTCAGGAGACACCATCACAACAGGAACAGAGGTGTCACTAACACAACAGCAACACTCAGGGGACAACAACACAACAGGAACAGAGAAGTCACCAACACAACAGGAACACTCAGGAGTCACCAACACAACAGGAACACTCAGGAGACATCAACACAACAGGAACACTCAGGAGTCACCAACACAACAGGAACCCTCAGGAGTCAACAACACAACAGGAACACTCAGGAGACAACATCACACCGGTCACAGAGGTGTCACTAACACAACAGGAACACTCAGGAGAAATTAACACAACAGGAACAGAAGAGTCACCAACACAACAGGAACACTCAGGGGACAACACCACAACAGGAACAGAGGAGTCACCAACACAACAGGCACACTCCGGGGACAACACCACAACAGGAACAGAGGAGTCACTAACACAACAAGAACACTCAGGAGACATCAACACAACAGGAACACTCAGGAGTCACCAACACAACAGGAACAGAGGAGTCACTAACACAACAGGAACACCCAGGAGACACCATCACAACAGGAACAGAGGTGTCACTAACACAGCAGGAACACTCAGGGGACAAAAACACAACAGGAACAGAGGTGTCACTAACACAGCAGGAACACTCAGGGGACAAAAACACAACAGGAACAGAGGTGTCACTAACACAGCAGGAACACTCAGGGGACAAAAACACAACAGGAACAGAGG